AGCAATACGTTTATTGTAGACGGCAAATATGTACCCGGTTCACAGACCGGGAAGCAAGCAGAAGCGGACAACACGTAGGTAGGCAGGCAGGCGGAGCAGCGTAAGCTCACACGTCACACTACACTTAAATGACAAATGGGTGATCTCAGTTCACAAGCCCGTCCACACACCACGCTGCCCGTTGCATCAAGCGGGGTGGGTAGTGATAAGTGGGCTACTGCTCAGATATCCCAACTTTTGTTTAACTCTTTGTCTTCCGTTCCCAACTCTCTCTCTCTACCCCTTCTTCCGACCCGTAACATTCCCTCATACAACTTGTTCGTCATTCGCCAAAGCTCGTCGCCAAGTGGGGCGGTAAGTAGTTTACCACAAAATAAATTGCAGATTCTGAAGCCTCGTCATTCACTGAATCTGGGGGCCTTCAACTTGAGTACTTTGATGCAAATAGATCAACAAGTGTGGCTGGTGCGAACAATGGACTCTTTGGGGGGTTGATGTCTCCTGCTTATCGGAGACGCGAATCTAGGATCCTAGTACCATAAACCACTTAAGTGTACCGGGGTTGTCTTCGAGCTTCTTCCTCCGCGCGTCAGGTGATGACGAAGCCCGTTCAGTAGGCCAGCGTGGTGTGGGCATTGTACTCAATAATAAAGCCGAAGCTGCACTACTCGATTGGATCCCCGTCAATAGTCGTTTATGTGCTCTGCGGCTCCAAGGATCCATCAGCGTCCGGAAGCAACACCAAACTTGTTTATTCATGATTTCAGCGTATGCACTGATCAGCTGCAGTTCTGACGCACAAAAGGACGAGTTTTATGATAAACTCAGCGAACTCATTCGGTTGAGCCGAAGCTCCGATATAGTTGTTCTCGCAGGTGACTTTAACGCTCAAGTTGGAAAGCTGAACGCATTGAAAGCTTGCCTAGGCGGCTATTGTGTTCCGCCCTGCCAGCGAACAGATAATGGCGATCGACTTCTTCAGTTCTGCGCAGATCATCATCATCTGTTCCTATCCAGAATCAACTTCCGTCACAGCTCTCAACGGAAAGCAACGTGGTGCTTCAATTTAACTGGACGCTTACTCAAATCGATCACATAGCAGTAAGCTATCATTAGCGTGGCTGCAGTACAAAACTGCAGGTCCTATTGGACCACCTGCGTTGAATCTGGTCATACATTAGTGTTGATGCAGTTCACTCTCCAACTCACTGGTCCCCGAAAACCCCACCAAACTCGGGTGGCAGGTCATCGCTTATCTGACCCAGCCGTTCGTACCCGTTTTGAATCAGTACTAGGGCAATAGCTAAACGCTCGGCGGGGTGGTAGTGTAGATGAACTATTAAACGAGCAATGCACTCCGCTGCGAGAGTTGCTTGTGGATCTGAAGCGGTAGCCTGCCCGAGGTTTTGGATATCTGATGATTCAGTAGCACGGATGGAGAATAAGCGGCAAATCCCCACCACCCGGGATCAAGGCAGGGGTAGGTGACATCTGCAACGACAAGTCAAGAAAGATCGCGAGAACTCATGGGCAACGATAGCTAGTAAAATAGAAGTAGCAGTCAAAAACTGTTCTAACTGATACGCATAACTGGAGGTCGGAGAACCACAGTTGGTGAAACAATCTGTGACAAAGGTGGGCAAGCTATTCACAATAAGGAACAACTGCTTGACCGGTGGGCGGAGTATTTCAACGAACAGTTCAGCTGGCCAGGTGCTAAACACACTACATATGTCGTCTGTTGTAGTTTCGGCTCTGTGGGAAGTGTCGTGTAAACCTCCTACGGCAGCAGAAAATCGATCATGCATCCAAGTCGTGAAGAAAGGAAAATGCAGCAGGACCGGACGGGCTTCCTTTCACTCTTTTCAAGTTGGGAGGCGATGACCTCGTAGACTCCATTAGTGATCTGATGCGTAACATCTGGTCACATGAGCATATTCCATCCTCCTGGAGCTAATCATTGATTGTTCCCATTTTTAAAACGGGATCTCGCAACAATTGCACAAACCACCGTGAAATAAGTTTGATCCCAATCATCACCAACTTACTAGCCTCCATTATACTTCGACGTCTGACGCCGTTTAGGGAGACAAATACCCGCGAATAACAAGCAAGATTTCGATCAGGTCGCGGTTGTATCAACCAAATCTTTATTCTGCGTCAAGTCCTCGAGCTACGCCATACGCATCATGGACCAACGGTTGTCGTGTTCCTTGAACTAAAAGGAGCCTTCGACTCAGTTGATCGTGAATCCGTTATGGGTTCACTCCTTCGCAAAGGAATGCCGCAGAAGTATGCGAACATGAGTTCACTTCACTCATATACCTCTGGTCGCGTAAGGGTCTATAGCGAGCTGAGTAGGTCGTTCGTAAGTAGGAGCGGTGTTCGTCAAGGGTGCTCTCTTTCGCCATTCCTGTTCAAGTTCATCATAAACGAAATACTGAAGAACACACTAAGTGGTCTTCAAAATGTAGGTATTGGATGGGCAGCTGGAGAAAAGCTGTGCGATTTGGAGTACGCTGACGACATCGTTTGCTTGTTCGAATGCATGGAGGATGCACAACGAACACTTGACAGATTAGCAATTTCTGTCACTCCGTTCGGCATGTGCTTTGCACCTTCAGAGTACAAAGTGATACTACAAGACTGGATGTCGCCGAGTTCTGTTCTGAAACTAGACAGTCAGGAATTAGCTGTGGTTGACTGCTTCTAGTACTTAGGTAGCTGCGTGACCAACGACGGTAGCGCATCGAAGGAGATAACCGCCCGCATTTCCAAGGCTCGAGCAGCGTACGCAGGACTGAAACACCTGTGGTGGCAACATGACGTGTCACTAACGTTAAAAAGTCGCGTATATCTCACTATTGTACGATCAGTTCTACTTTACGATTGTGAGACCTTGAATTTGCGAGTGGAAGACACCCGTCGTTTGGCTATGGTCACAGTTATCAGTCGTTGTAAGATGAACTTGTCGGACGATGACCAATTACATTTGGTCTGACTAGACGCTTCGTGTCTTAGTTTTCGTGAGACATGAGAGGAACTCAAACGTGGCCTTACTGTTTAGCGTCTTCGTTCGGTCATGCGTATTGTTGTCCGTGTATCTCTGATACGGTTATCCAGTTTGCGCGACCTTTCAACTTCAAGGACATGTCACGTCGACACTATCGGTGTTTCAGTTCTGTGCATACCCCTCGTGCCGTGGAAATATGGGCGGTTATTTTCTTTACCATGCTACCGTCATTTGGCTCACCACTACCCCGAGTTGGAGAAGCAGTCCACTATAACTATGATTTGACCATCAAGCATCCTTGCTACATCGCTTTGCACTTCGAACGTGCAGAGCGCATGCCAAATGCAGTTCCAGTTTGTCAAGAGCGCTTTACGCATCCTCCATGCATCCGAACAGACAAACGATGTCATGTGCGTACTCTGAATGGCATATGCTTTTTGGTCTGACCAAATATACGCGCTAGCTATGTTAATGCCAACCGCCCAACGATACACTTCAATATGTGCCTGTTCGTGCACACTTATTACTCTAGAGAAATGGTTCGCTGGACTTTGTGAATCAAGATCATCTAAATAGACTCATGAAGGTAGTTAGCGGGGAAACCTGCTTCACCGCCCCCCGCCGCTCTTAAGCTTGTGTCAACTAATTATTAGGTCATCCGCGCGCACTACTCCGATACCTCTTCGTCACAAATTACTTGAAACGTCATTATTTTGGACGTTTTTGGACCTATTTGTCCTTACAAATACATCACATGTCGAATTTACATACTGTACCCCTCGAACATGCTCTGTTTGACTCGCGTCCGTGTCCATAGAATGAGTTAGATGTGACTGAGGGCACCAAACTGGGCTCAAAAACCAAGCTCTAATGATGGCGCAATAGGTAGTATCGTATTGGCCGGATAATATTCCTCATCTAGACACCATTGCACATTCTTCGTACGAAGCACAAAGCGACCGGATTGTGTTTATTTTCCTTCCGTATCGGTTCATTTCCTGCTATTATGGCGTACTATGTTTCCTCCCTGTTTTCTTTCTGACTGTTTTTATCACCGGTCAACAAGGCGGCAAAAGCAGAAGCCGATTATCTCTGAGTCAGCAAAGGTGTGTTAGATGATAGGGTGCTCGATTTCAGTCTTGCATGTCCGTACTTCTCTGTGTGTGTGTGTCTCTGTTTTCGCTTACTTCATGTTTTCCGGTCTAGTGCGTGAATTTTTCCGACTTATATAATGAATTTCATTCACTCAGTAATGGCTACTAGGTCTGTTCACATATTTAGGGTTTAAACTGTCGGTTACAATTAGGTTACTCGTTGTAAAAATCACGGATAGGTCTTTGCCAGCAGTGATGGTGGTTGGTAAATCTCGTTTGAGGTATACGCGTTTTTTTTAAAACTTGATTTCAGTGCTAGATTGGAACTTGAGATGGCTTTGGTATATCCGTTTTTGATAGCTACTTCCTGAACATCAGATTGCCTCGCATTTCAGATGTTGCATTATTGCATTCTAGAAATCCTCCTCCTCAGCAAGTGGATGGTTATACTTTTCGCACAACGTTTCTCACTCCAGCTCCATCGCGTTTTGCTGTCCTCTATATCTCTCTGTATGAGTAGTATCGCGATCATTGACCCCTTTCCCCATACCACAGCATATCCTACGTGTTTTCCTCCTTCCCGATTTACTTCCGCTGTTAATCGTCACTGCGTCTACCCTTTTTGTAACACACTTCGTTCGTTTCTAACTTAGTAGAATACGAGGAAGTTGATCCACGCCTAATGTCTCCAAGCACATTGATCTCTGTTTGCGTCTGATTTGACTTTTTTAAATCTTTACGTGTGCCACACCCCAAATCGGAATCTTTATCATTTCTGTTTATAGTTTATTACCACGAGATGATTTTCACTTTAATCGTCTGAATAGTGTTCAACACATTCTCTCTCTCTCGTTCGATCATATCCACCTTTCTAATCACTGTATTCCATTTCCTCACATTGCGCATCACTAAAAGATGCACTCCATTCCCTACAACACCTGTTCCCTACCTGTGTCTCACAGATGATGACCAGCACCATCGGTCACAGGTGAAAATCGAACTGCATATACATGGTCGTCCTGGACCTGAAATATCAAGCTGATCGGGGAGTGTCTGCATTAATAGGAGGTTCATTTGTTTATTGTAACTGCCAACATTTTACCGCTATTTCATTCCACGTAAACATCCTGTCTGTTGTAATTTGACACACATTTGTATCCCTACCTAATCTTGTTTCTCCCATTCGTGTTCTAGCAGCGCCCAATACTCCCGATACGGAAAAATCAGATACCAAACCCCACCCACGTTCCGAGGCATTTGTGATCGATTTCGGACCAAGCGGTGGCAGCGTGGGGGAATCACGCGGCCCGGTCCCGGGTAGCCTGAGCCAATGTGTCCCGGATCGATTACGGCGCGGGTTCGATGAACGGGAGCGTCTGAAACGGGAACGGGAAAAAGAGAACGAATTGCGACGTCAAACTGTGAGTCTATATTTTACTCTCTCTCTCTGGATTCCGTTTTTTCTCTCTCCTACGTCGGCTGTAGTTTCGATCGCAGACTATCGTTCGGAGTTTTCCTAAAGAGTGCATATCTCTTGCTGCAGGAACCGTGCTCTATACAGTGCGTGAGAAAGCAAGGAAATAGTTTTGTCCCATTGATGAACTTCCGCACACAACTCTGTGCTTTTCGCTTGCGTTCATATCCCCCTGNCCCCCCCATAATAATCGACTATCGACACCCGGAAATATTCAATAGAATCTCTCATTTTGTCCCATCGAAAAACAGCGTCCTTCACTTTTGTTACGTTCTACCCAATTATTACATTTTCCTTTCGGCTTTGTGTTTTGTTTTGACTATCCTCTCTCCCGATCGATTTCCCTTATTGATCCGACCAGACGTGAATTCGATTTCCAGGTTGTGGTTGGTCACCGGTATACGGAGAATCGTCCATTTTTGTCTTCCGATGAACAAATCCCAAACAGAACTGACTGCACACGCTCAACACGGTCTGATTCGCTTCTCGATTGTCTGTTCATTTTGCAGTCGCTGTGTGCCTCTTTCGTCGGATGCGTCGGTATCCAATTAATTCAAACTTGGAATTGACTAAATGTTGGTGATAATATTCAAAGATCATCGATTATTATATCAGGTGAAAAATCCAAACCACCGTCTGATGCGCTCACTTCGTGAACTCGTGCTCCACTGAGGATCGAAACCGATGTCACACAATGTACCATTATTAGCATTATGATTGTTATTGTTTGTATTCATATTAATACTGGTCACCATTTGGACAACACTGGACAGACCTCCAATACAGCTTAAGTGAATCTCGCAACGGTTCAATTCGATTCAGTCGTCAACAATCTGACCTTTTTATCGTTCAGTCAACTACGAGACTGTGCCCGGACGTAGTACGATGACTCTTGTGCCACATTGATTGAAAGAACTCCGAAGGACGGCTTTCATGATCACCGATCCAATCATACCCGGAAGGTCAATTGATTGTAGCCAAAACAAAACTCAGTCTGTAAAGGTCAACTAATTGTGCACCAACTGTCTTTTTCCTGTCCCATGCACGATCGCCCCTCGAGAATAGCTACAAGGTAAAGCAGTTTAGCGACCAGAAAAAACGTTAAATGGACATCAGATCTGGGTGCCTGTGGTTTACTACAAACCATTGGAGAATTTTTGTTTCATTGGGTAGCTACTGTCTGTTTGATGTTTCGCTTACGTTCTACCTTTCTCATTGGATGTGCATGATCCTAAAGGCCAGTCCCCAACGGTGGACTAGTAATCAGAAGATGGAACCCAAAATGAAAACCCTAAGGCCTTACGTAGAGCCCCTTCACGGGTGCTCCTGTTACGGTATATCGCGTCTTTAAGCCCCAGGTACCCCTCTTTGGAAAGCCCTCTTTCTCATCTGTTATTCTTTAGTTAAAACGGCGTTTGCTTTATATTAGGCTCCGAAAGCTCCAATTCAGTACACTGATGGGTTCAGTCAGTGCTTTGTTCTCTCCGTCCCCCGGCGTTGCCATTTGTTCCACTGATCGGTAATAAAATACTGCCCCATAAAA